GAGAGGAGGTGACCGGCTGGCCCGATTTCAAACTGGACAGGAGGCCATGATGGTGATGACTGCCCTCATTGACGGACACCTGAAGGGTCGGCTGGCGAGCTCCAGAGTTCGTCACCGTCTGGGTGTGCGGCCGGTCAGGAGGAGTGTCTGCTGGACAATCCTGGGCAGGATGGTTTTGCTCGACCTCTAGGGTGGCCCCAGTGACACGATGCGGATGAACTATGGGAGGGGGTTTAGGAGGAGCGTCACCCGAGGAGTGCGTTCTGGAGAGGGCATCAGCCCCCAGGCGTCTGGGTCCCGGTCGATGCCTGATGGTTAAATTGAAACGGGACACGGCCGTGGCTCCCTCACTCCGCTGCCAGCGGGATTCTTCCCAGGGAGTCAGAACTTCCAGTCGTGTCTCCGAGATCCGCTGGAGCTCCTTCATTCTATTGTGCTCCGGACCTGGTGGTGGGGCCAGGACCGATCCAGATGACAAACCGAGCCCCAAGCACGGGATTTCAGAGAGAACCTTGGGAGTCTTCGGAAGGGCTCAGCGGGTCTGAGGCTTGAAGGAGCAGTGCTGGAGAAGGGGCTGCAGGCCGAGGGGAGAGGCGGGAGGAGTTGAGTGGATGATGGATCCTGCACCAGCAGGACAAAGCTGCCTGTGACCTGCAGAGGCAAGGCTGGAGAGCAGCACCTTGGCAGGGATGAGGAGAGCTGGGGTAAGAGGCAGGGGCTCCCAGCGAGAAAGACTGTCGGACAGCGGCACTGGAGAGGGCTGGGGGCCTCGGAGGTGAGAGCGAGCTGGAAAGAGGGAGAAAAAATCGATCCAGCTGGGAATCCAGCTAGGACAGCGAGTCCCTGCTGAATCGGTGCTCGGAGATTTAGGAAGAAGGCGTCTGAGAGGGCGAGTGTAAGGCCAGAGCTACTGTACCACTGCAAGCTGGAGCTCAATGTCAGAGCACTGAATCAGCAGGAAAAATGCCCTGAATGCCAGCTTACTTGCCGGATCGATGTTGGGATTGACCGCCTGACTTTCCCGACCACGTTCGAAAGGAGTCAGAAGGAGACAGAGCCCATGCAAAAGTTCGGGCTGCTCGGGGCAACATCAGGAGGACATGAGCTGCTCCCAGCCCCGTTATAACAGCGCCCCACCCCTTGTCAGCTAGTCTCAGGACAGCTCTGAGGGCCGTCGAGGCCAGTTGGGTTTCTGTTAGTTCTCTCCGTTGAGATCCCGAGAAGAGGAGGTTGGAACTTGTACTGACGTTTGAACAGAGACTTGCCTGTGGTGGTTTGGAAGGATGTTACGAGAGAATTCTGCCCAGGGAAGCAGTGGTTCCCACTCATCCTGAAAAGCAGACAGGTGGCAGTGCAGGTAGGTCCCCAGGTCTGGTTCACCTGCTCTGTTTGGCTGACGGATTCCGGGTGGCATCCGGACGGCAGGTCGATCCCGATTTTCAGCAGAAGGCCCTCCGGTGGTGCTTGAGAAGCCATCAGGAAGACAGACAGTAGGAAGAAATGGCCGGCTTTCAGGAAGCAGTTGACCACAGTGAGGGTGACTGAACGACTGAGGCACAGGGAGGCCAGTTATGAGGTCTGCGGAGATGTGCTGCTACGGCCGATCAGGAATTGGAGGGAGAGGAGGTGACCGGCTGGCCCGATTTCAAACTGGACAGGAGGCCATGATGGTGATGACTGCCCTCATTGACGGACACC